AATGTCCGAGCGAGTTTCCTATCTTTGATCTTGCTATGGTAAGGCTCAATCGTATTTATTCCCATTTCTTACTCTACGGCTGATCCCTTCCCAAAATCCTCTTCACGAATCTATTATCATTCTTCCTTGACTCGTCTATTGGTTGTTGTGGTGGAGTGGCTATGCCTCTCTATGTTGTCTTTGCGAGAATGGGGGTGGCTAAAGAATCTATGGGATTAACTAAAACAAATTTTATCTTGTGGGTGACCCTTACCGAGTCTTCCTATAATCACCCAGTGTATACAAGTCGTATAAATCTTAAGATTGAATAGGCCTCTGAATAAGTGATCCTACTCTAAGACCACATCCAAATAAGGAAATGGAAGTAGAGTGAGAATCACCAATTCTAGGTCAATGAATCTCAATTATATATCACCTTAAGGTATACACACAATAATTATAAATCTATTAGTAAGGGTCTGTGTAGTTCTCACATAAGTTATAGTACCACAAAATACTCCTATAGTATTTTAAATGTTATGTTTGGTTCTTAATGGTTTTCTTGTATTTAGGCTTGTTGCTCACTATGACCATTCCTTGGTGTACGTTAATCACACCTCAGATTAAATTTAGTTGATCAAGCTATATTCTTCCCAAGTCTGATTACATATCCCAAGGTCTACTCGTAGCATCCAACTCCTACTAGCATGTATGCATGTACTCATACTTTTTATCACGAAACTATTTTATTTCTAAAAGTATAGTTATTTGAAAATGTTTAATCAGATACATTTAGTCCCAATGCATTTATAGTTTGTATATCTTATGTGGTTCGATATTCTTGGTTCACTATAAACAATGCTCTGATACCAATATATCACACCCCCGAACCAAGGATGACGAAAACGTCTGGGGATGGAGGACTTCCTCTATAGTATCATAATAACGAGTATAATAGTGCTCAAAGTAAATACAACCATCATAAATATAATTAAAAAAAGTTACACCATAGTATGAGTTTACATGTTTAAAAATTAAATACACTATGATGACAAAATAAACTATTTGACACTTTAATGTCCCATCCTAAAAAGTTGCGGGTTCCTGTTTTACTGATTTCCTTCGAATACAAGTAGTTTCGAAAAAGTATCAACAATTAAGTTGGTGAGTTCATAAGCTTTTAGATGTATAGTTTTAAAACCCTGGTTACCACTAGTATGTATAGTAGTTTTATTATTTGAAATAAAACTGAGTATTGTATCCTGAGTTTGAAAACCATTGTTTGTAAATGTAATGTATACTCAAGAAAAATCCAATATTTACCTTACAAAATGTTATGTAGTCTTAAATCCGAAGACCGAGAGTATGTGTATGTTTCGTACTTGTAACAACGTATGCAATTTTAAATAGACAAAACCCCTTTTTAAAGTGGAAATTCCCGTAAAATATACGTGTCGTTATCTCCCTATGTGAGTCGCTATGACCATACTATAACATAGATGCCTATTACGACGTTCTTCAGGCATCAGAATCGAAATGACATTTGTCACCCCCGATCGGTTGATCAGCCGATCGAGCTATTGCAAGCAGCATGGGTGTGGGCTGTTAATCCCAATATAGATCTATACATAATTATCATGCTCTGCCTACAAGACACTCTGGTTATAACTTTTCAGGAATTTTAACCCGTACTCTAAGAGTACAATGAAGACGAGTCTCACAATTTACGATAACGAGTTTACGTGTAGTATGCTTGTAAAACCTTTTCTGTGGTGGAATTGAAATCCCTTTTGTGTAGTATGTTTGTAATGTGAAATCCATAAACTATACATATTATACTTTATCATGTGGTGAATGAATACCCATTTGTATTGAGATTAAAACCCTTTTTTGTGGTGGAAATTGAATCCCCTTGTCATGTAGTTTGTTTGTATTGTAAAATCCATAAACTATACCTATTATAATTTATTGTACTTGTTAGAAGTGTATGAAAACCCTTAACATAAATGACTAATTTATGTAAATGATGTTAAACTAACAACAAATACATTCAACATTTAGAAACTTATTTTTATACACTTTTCTCAACATGTTACGAAGTGTTATAAATATTGTAAGCTGCTTATTAGTTTTTAACTTTTCTGCAATGTTTTAGAATTATCACAGAAAAATCATACGAAGTCAGAAAATAAATCCGTAAACTCTGAGATTTTATAAAATGAGTCTAGTTTGTTCATAGTTTTTATTATGATTTTTAGAAGTCTCTAACTTGTGTGAAAATGTTCAAATTCACAGACTGCTCCGAAGTTGTTGCTGAAATGACACACAATTTTGTAAAAATCGCCATAAATAGTAAAAACATCATATGGATATGTGCAAGTAGTCATTAGAAAGGTATAAACCTGATATATTTTCACCTACTACAGTTTTAAAAAGTAATAAGTTTAAGATATTGAAAATAGTCTGTGAATGAAAATGAACTTTTCTGTTGAAAGCTGATGTTTGAGTTTAGTTAAATTTTTGATGTTTTAACTTGTATTCCCCCCTAAAACTTGAAGAAAACATGAAAATATGGGGGTATGAACTCACCTTGAGTGATCCCCTGAGATGAATGTTGAAGAAAATAGGTTTCCAAGCAAAGAACACTTGGAAGATGCTTGGAGATTTGAAGATCCTAAGAACGAATATGCCGATATTTGCATGAGAATCCATGATTCGAGTGAAGGTTGTAGAATACCTAAGAGTAGGATGAAGATACTTACCAAAAGTGGAGAAGAAGCTTAAGATCAGCCTTTGAAATCTCGATTTTTGAGAGAGGGAGAGAAAAAGAGAGAGTGATATGTTTGCTCTTGGTGAAAGAGAGAATGCCTTGGAGGAGAGATAAGGATTTTCGCAGATCTTGATTATTGTAACTTGATGGAGAAGGGTGTGAAATTACAAATTGTTGACTAGCTAGGGATGAATAGTGACTGGAGGTTGTCATTGAGTGGGTATGGGGGATAGCTTGTTGTCATTACTTTATGGAAAATTCAGCACTCCTAGACAATATCTTGCACAAAAGATATTATCCATAGATAAAAGTTTCCCCCAAATGTTTTCCCATAAATTCAGCACTCTTAGATGCTTCGCCCCTTTTAAGATGTTTTCCCATAAATCATTCTGTTTCGAGCAATTTTTGACCAAGCTAAGGGTCGGGATGCCCCGAGTGATTATAAAAAGCTAAGATAGGTTATGAGAGAGATTTGGGAGAGATTTCAGAGAGAGAGAGAGATAGTGCGAGAGAGATTGAGAGATGGAGAGAGACTTTGTTTGTGACCTTTGTGAGAGTTTAGCTTCGAAATGCAAGGTTTGTAAACCCCATTGAGCCTCGTTATGAGTGTTATACGTCCCCAGAGGGTCTGTAATAATGTTTTATCGAGTAGTTTCATTACTTAACCTGATTAGGGTTTAGATTTTCTAAACACATGAAGAATCAAAGTGATATTTTGCATTAAGATAGGGTGTTATACAAAAGTAAACATAATGTAAACCCTAATATACAAGGGTTAATTGAGTTGATCGGTTTGACTTGTTGACTTTATTTGACTTGTTGACTTGACCGGTAATTGATAGTTGTCACAAGAAAAGACTATGTCCTTGATGAACCTATCCCAGAAGAGCTCCCAACTAATTCTCCCAAAGCATCGAAAGATTCTTGGGCGAAAATTGTTAATGATTCAACCGAAGTGGCTTGCATCATGCTTGCAACTATGATTCTTGAACTTTAAAAAACCTTTGAGTTTCATGAAGCATTCGAAATGATTGAACAACTAAGACTTGTGTTTCGCATTCAGGCTACGCAAGAGAGGTTTGAGACCTTGAATGCTTTCATTGGTTGCAAGATGGCATAAGGATCTTCTATGAGTGCACATGTACTCAAAATGAAAGCTTATGTTGAGCAACTTGCCTGCCTCAGAATCCAATTTGGGGATGAGCTAGCGATCAATGTGATCCTAGACTCATTCACTACTAGAAAAATAGCCTTTTACGACGCGCGAACCATGACACGCAACTATTTATGATACGCAAAGGTGAGTGTCTAAAAAATAATGTCATCTCTTCCAAAATTTAAAGGATTTCAGACGCGCATTTTTGCGTGCCCTAAAATTAGTGTCTAAACAAAAAAAATAAAAACACGGAGGGTACCTACGTGTCGTCTACGACCGTCGCTTTATAAATTTTAATAGAACGCGCGCATTCCATCCGGGGAAAATGAAATCCCAAAAAACATAAAATCCCGGCTTCCTTTTTTTTCTCCCTCCACTTTAATTTCCCTAGTAGCTAGGGCTTTTTTTTCAAGAACTTGCCCCGATTATGCCCTCGTGTACTGCTCATTCTCTCTTCAACTTCCCTTTCTCTCCTTCTCACTTCAACAAACCCTTTCTCTTCTTCTCGGTTCTCAACATCGACAACTTCTCTCACCTCCGACGTTTCTCTTGGTGTTGGCGCCTCCCACCTCTGACCTCCATCTAGCCCCGCCCCACCGTCCAACGCTTTCCAGCGTCACCCAGCCGATGGAGCCCCTCATCTCCGGCAATCTCACCTTGCCTGCCCTTCCCAGCAATATTATGTCTAGTGACCTAGACTGAGAAAACTCAGAGCCTTCGGAGGAGTGGTGGCACTACTCAAATCCCAGCGACGGAAGGAAACTCTCTATCACAGCAACAGAAAGTCGGAGACTGGAATGGGAGAAAGAGAAATAGAAATCAAGAAATTGACTTATACAGTAAATAGGGAAGAATCGATGATGCACGCAACATGTTTGATAAAATGCCTCATCCACCATGGTCTTAATCTACAAGTCTCTCTCTCTCTCTCTCTCTCTCTCTCTCTCTCTACCCCATACTGCTTGACAACCACCTAGGCACCCACCACCCTTCGTCTTCTCTCTGGTTCACCACACTTCTCCATCCTATGTTTGTTAGATTCGTCATCTGATTGGCGAGTGTTCTGTAAAAAATGATTTTTCCGTTTCATATTTTATGGATACCTCAATCTTCCATGATGATTATGAATGTAGTCATAGAGTACTCGCTCCACTATCATTTTCAATCATTTTAGGGCATGGAAAGGTAATTTTTCTAGTCGGGGAGGGTTTCAATTATATATCTACTATATCTATTTCTAACTTTTTTACAGAGGATCGTTATGATTTGGGCTTTGACTAATATTGCTTCGGGGACATCTGAACACACAAAAGTGGTGATTGATCATGGTGTTGTTCCAATATTTGTGAAGCTTCTTGCATCTCCAAGTGATGATGTTAGATAACAGGTATCTTTTAGAGGTTTTTGTATTTCATAAACTCAATTCACAAATTCATTATCATGACTTCAATTTCACTTTATCTACATGTTAGGCTGTATGGGCTTTAGGAAATGTTGCTGGTGATTCCCCTAAATGTCGTGACCTTGTACTTGCACAAGGTGCTTTGATTCTTCTACTATCTCAATTAAACGAGCATGATAAGTTATCCATGTTGCGAAATGCCACATGGACACTTTCAAATTTTTGCAGAGGCAAACCACAGCCTTCTTTTAGTCAGGTTTGTTTCTGAAAAGACTAAACTACCCACATAGTTCTTTTGGCTCTATCTTTTCAACATTTGTAATGATGAATTCTGATTTGTCTTGACTTTTCACAGACAAAACCTGCACTTCCAGCTTTACAGCAACTTATTCATTCAAACGATGAAGAATTTTTGACAGATGCTTGTTGGGCTCTTTCATATCTTTCAGATGGCACAAACTATAAAATCCAAGCTGTTATTGAAGCAAATGTATGTCCAAGATTGGTTGAGCTATTAAAGTGAGTCTTTTCTTCTTCTTCTTTTGAATAAAGTTAGAATCTTTAAAACTTTTTTTTAAGTTCTAACCTTTTTCTATATCTTTTGAATAAAGTTAGGATCTTTAAAACTTTTTTTTTTAAGTTCCATGGAGGGACTTCTAATTACCCTAATCGGTTCAAAGTCTACTATGTATTGAATCAGGTAGGTATTATTCTTAGTAACAAAAAACCTATGATAAACAAATCAATGATAGTAGGTTGTTGTTTGTTGCATTGAATTAAACCTAATAATTTTTGGGTTTATTATAAAATATAAATTAAAATAAAGGGCTTGGTTTTGTATTTGTGAAGCCACCGGAGGGATGGACAGGTGGCGTTGGGTTTGTATGAAAAAAAATTAATCAACAATTTGAAAAATCTTTAAGCATAATTGGATATGTTTCTGTTTGTGTTTGTGTATGCAGGTGGAAATGGTTGTTAAAAAGAGTAAGCTCAAGCTCAAAAAGCCACATGATAATAACACCTTAGACCCTCCAACAGCGAACTACATTTTTAAAACCTTGATTTTAGCCCTTGAATCTCACGAGGTACAAATTTTCAAGCAATTAACTTGTTTGTTTCTCCCTTTCAGTAATCTGTTTATGATTTTTCCATTTTGTACTCCGTCCCTTTCGGTACTTTTTCAATCCATATATGACTTGTGGATTGTTGCAAATTAATGTGGCTGGGTTGTTTCCGTTTCCCTTTCACATTCTAAGTTTGAAGTTTACCAGTTTTCTCATAATTTTTTAATTTCTTATCAATTCTTGAAATGACTTAGTCCTTTCAGACGCATATAAGACTTAGTACTTGTTTCTTTTTTATTCAAGTTACTTAATGATATCTTAACCAACTATGATTGAATTTGTATCATTATTTATAGCAATTGTTTTTTTTAAGTATATTCCAATTTTTATGATTTGTCGTTTACAATTTTAAGTCATAACAGTTCTCAGATAAATAGTAATTTGCTATTAAGCATTATTTATAGATGCAAGGGTAAAATGGTAATTCACTCCAAAAAAGAAACATTCTTTGTCTACTCTATATCAGTTATTCCAAAGAAACATCACTTATCCATTCAAAACAATACTTTAAGAAAAAGAAAGAAACATGCCCTTACATAGTATAGCCATGCAGAATAGTTTCTGAATTTTGTTTCTATTTCTGTTTTCTTGTTTGTTGCATCTTTTTTTATTACAGAGTTGTAGGTATCATATATATATATATATATATATATATATATATATATATATATATATATATAATATCATGTATAGTATAAATGTAGAACAGTTTGTATTTGCATTGGATTTGTATTCACTCCGGCCGGTCCGGTACCTTTGAATTTCCTAATTCTCCCGATTAAGAACCGAACATCGTTTTCAGGATTTGTTGCATCCTCTTCCACCACCTGAGAAAAGAAAGGATGATATACTTATTTTCTTCAAGCTTTATGATCCCGTGAAGGAAGAACTCAGGTACTTTCAACAAGTTAGTTATATCTTTCAGTAGCCTAATGGGATGGGGTTATTGTGTAATCATATCATATGTTATATTATTTTTGGAGATATGTTGGTAGGTTTTTTGTCAAGAGTTCTGGTAAACCAACTGAAATTAAATCTCTTGTGTTTATGTTTATGTTTTCAGTGTTTATCTGGTAGTCCTATGGGCAGTAGCCATCATCCATCCGCCAGTGATAGCCTATCCAAACCCCGGCCACCTATAAGTCATTCGATGAAATGACTAAGGCAATTAAGGTATTCATTCCAACTTATCTTTTCCCGATTCATGAGCATATTATATGTGTTTTATCATCTATTTTCTTCAGGCATGCTTAACATGGTTTAGTTACCTTTTGATGTCTCAACAGAAGTAACATCGTACTCTGATGTTCATCTTTCTGGAACAATCGATACTAGAAAAGCTGCTTCTGTTTTGGCTTCTACTAGTCTAGAAAACCAACATGAAGTATTATTCCTTATCACATGATTAATTTGTCAAGTAATATAGATTACTTTGTGAAGTATTTATGGTTCTTGGACTTCTCAAAATTGCAGTTCCTTAGGACATACTTGTACCCTTTGGTGGAGCAAATTGAGCACTAGAATGCTACAAGTGTAACATATATGTTGCTTGAGATGGACAATTATGAAGTGCTTTATTTGATTGAATCTACGAATGAGTTAATGAAGAAAGTTGGTGAGGTCATGGCCCTGCTCATTTCTGCATCTTACAGCTGATAAACGAATAAAAACTTCATTCTCACAATCCTCCAACGAAACCTCCATCAAAAAACTTAATATAAAATTGTATAGATAGTAAAATGAAGCGTGTAATTAGAATGATAGATGATTTCAAAAATACCATAAACAGAGGTCTATCATGTCCTCCATCCTGGATCTCTGAAATGTAGTAACACATATTTGTTGGATCTAAAATGCTAATGTACTTAACCCTGCTCCTGAAACCTGTATAAAAAACACATACTATTTATGTAAGTTTGCTTTTTATTTTTATTTTTATTTTTTTTATTTTTTTAGTTCTGAGTGCATGTTAAATATATTATACCTTTAGGGTAAATAACATGACTGATGATAGTGGAAAAACATATTATCCTCAGGTAACTCATCAAGACTTTCTTGTTTGATTAACTTTTCTTCTCAAGTTCAAACTGGTTGTTCCTATTGTAAAATGATGATTCTTTCAAGTCAGGAAAGAAGTGTGTCAAGTTTATACACTTCGGCTGATAGGGGGCTTGGAGATCGGTTTGGAGGCCTCATCATTCAATTAAAACCAAAACCAAAACCACAATTTTCTAGATCAACAATCCAACCTTAACTTTCATCAGGTATATATTTCTTTAATTGGCATCATCTAATTAAGAAAGTAACATGCCAAGTAAAATACATAACACTAGATTCAGTAGAAGTTCATGTTGTGCTTAACCCCCATTCCATTAAAGTTCACACATGTAAGGAAGGCCAAAACAGGATAGGGTATTTTAGGTATTTTTGTCAAAAGTTGGAATTGCATGGATTTTAGTACCTGTAAGCGCATGATTAATTTCAGCTTCATTTTTTGTACTTCTTTAACATTCTGATCAAATTAATTTATTTGATTTGGAATTAATTTGGTATAAAAATTAGGACTCGTGTCTTGCGACATATTGGTTCTGAGCTAAACTTAAAGATAAGGAAAGATGAGCTAAATTTGAGTTAAAATTCTAATGGTGGGGCATATATTGGGAGGGATTGCCACCTCTCTCCTCTTTTTAGCCTTCGAATCATGGGTTGTTGCTAAACACAACAAGGTGAGATATAATATTACATTTCTAAATACACCCTTTATATTGTGTATGGTTCTAATGCTCGTGTTTTGATGTATCTATAGAGAGGTTTTGAGCAACAATGGCTATCAATTACATTCTCCAAGGCAATATTTCTTGGGAATGGACTGGTTGCCATTTTAGCTGGTTTATTTGGAAATCTTTTAGTTGGTTCATTGGCCATGGGACCTGTTGCTCCATTTGATGCAACTTCAATCTTTCTTGCCATTGGAATGGCCATCATCATATCATCATGGACTGAAAATTATGGTGACTCATCAGAAAGCAAAGATCTAATGACCCAATTCAGGGGTGCTTCTGTTGCAGTTGCATCAGGTCTATCTCTCTCTCTCTCTCATACATATACAAGAGAAGCATGAAGAATCCATAGTGGCAATCTTGTAATTATGCATACATATCATTCTGCCTTCTAAATTTGGACCTAATAGTTTTTTTTTTTTTTTGTGTGTGTGTGTGTAAAAACAGATGAAAAGATAGCATTATTGGGTGCAATACAATCTTTATTCAAGGGTTCAATGTACACTTTTGTGTTTCTACAGAAACCTGCTTTAATCCCAAATGGTGAAGACATTCCACATGGTTTCATTTTTGCTACTTTCTTGTTATCTTCCATGTTAGGAAGCTCTTTAGCTTCTCGGTTATTAGCACACACACTGACATACATTGATATTGTGTTGTGTTGTGTGTGTGTGTGTGTGTGTGTGTATATATATATATATATATATATATATGTATGTATGTATAAAATCAAGATTCACTTTCCACTCGGACAAAAATACTCTTCCGGATTGTTCCGAATTATTATGACCATTTTGCCCTGATAGGGATTTTGACATTAACATACATGGGCACATTTCTTTTAGTGTAGATTTTGTCGAAGAGAAATGACAACAAAGAAGATAAGTATCTCTTGTTGTTTGTATATATACACTTTTTCTTCTTGTTTAATAACTTAAAAACTATATAAATGTGAAAATTGAAGGTCCACACATTGTTAAAAGGATTGGAAAAGATAGTTGCAAGTGCAGATATTCCAATGTTAGTCTGAGGTGACTTCAATTCAGTTCCAGGAAGGTATGTGTCATTTCTGCTACATTTGTTATGTGTGTTGTGTGGCCAACAAACATCTGTTTTCATTACTTTGGTGTATGTAATTATTGATCCACAGTAAGTCCATGGATTTACTGTGTTTTTGGATTGTCCTATAGGTAGCATCTCAGCTTCTGATTAATTTGGTGTACTATTTTGGCAGGTTGATCTCTATGGCCTGCTAGAAGGATTGGATATTGCAGTTAAGCATCTATCTAAGACTTCACGGCAAGGACTTGATGAATATAAGCTAGCAATGTTTTACTTGATTTGGACATGAACAAGACTCAAGCAAAAGCAAGACTCATACTTTGGCATGGCTAGAAGCTTTGGAGGAAACAAGACTCAAGCAAAGGCAAACACACAGAGAGTTGTTAATTGGCACATAGTAAGCTAGATAATGCAATTGTATATAAATTCTACTTCTCTTGAGTTCATTTCTTTTATTACAATTACTCAATATTGGAATAATTATTTTTATTTGACATATTAGTGAAATAAATTATCTTTGTTATTTATGGTATTTTATTTTGTATTATGAGATTTTTAATGTATTATTTAATTTGAAATTAGTAAATCAATAAAATAATATATTTTTTTTAAAACATTTAATGTTATGATACGCAAAAATGTGTGTTATCTTCATTTATGACATGGCCTTTCTTGACAGGGGCTTTCTTGATACGCATTGCGTGTCATTAACACGCGCGTCGTACGGTTACGACACTCAAATGCGTGTCGTCTTCCTTTATGACAGGGCCTTCCTTGATACGCATTGCGTGTCGTAAACGCGCGGTGTAATTGTGCGTCATAAATGAGCGTCGTAAATGCGCATCATCTCTCTTTATGACAGGGCCTTCCTTGACGCGCATTTGCGCGTCGTCTGAGCCTTTTATGACGCGCAATGAGCGTCGTAAAAGGCTTTTTTTCTAGTAGTGATTGCCTAAGCCATTCAACCAATTTTTGTGAACTTCATAATGAACTACTGGGAGAGGAGCATTAATGAGCTTCACAACGTGCTTAAACATGTTGAGGCAAATATCAAGAAGTCTGGGAACAATCAAGTGTTGAAGATTCGTGAGGGTCAAATCACCAGGAAGAAAACCAGTAATAATACCGGTAAGTTGGAAAGGAAACTTTGCTAAGAAAGGAAAGGGTAAGGGAAAGGGTAAAGGGAATCCTCCTTCCACTGACCCTACTCCTAATCCAAACCTGTTGTTGACGCTGATTGCTTTCACTGCAATGAAAAGGGACACTGGAAGTGCAACTATCCCAAATACCTAGAGGTACTTAAGAAGATCAAAGCCAACTAGGTTGGCACCTCAAGTATATATGTTATTTAATTACATACATTCCATACTAATTCTTGGGTATTTGATACTAGAAGTGGTACTAACATATTCAATGATTTGCAGGGACTAAGAAATGCTAGAGAACTTAGAGATGGCGATTTAGAACTTCATGTTAACAATGGAATCGTATAGCTGTGAAATCCATTGATCAATATCATCTTTTGCATCCAATTAGCCTTAATCTTATTTTGAACATTTGTTGTTATGTACCTAGTATAAATAGGAATTTTATCTCTACCTCTCATTTGTATGAACAAGGTTTTGATTATAAGTTTGACTTTGGTTCTGAAAACATTTTTGTTTTTAAAGATAATGTGTTCTATTTTGAGACTAGTCCAAAAAATGGAATATATGAAATCGATTAAATGGTTCATACACAAATGATAATCTAATGTTCAAAATAAAAAGTTAGACTCAAATAAAACTTATTTATAGCATTGTCGACTTGGCCACATAAGTAAAAATTGCATTGCTAAGCTCCAAAAGGATGGGATCTTAGAGTCAACAGGCTTACAGTCTTTTGATGTATGTGAATCATGTCAATGTGGCAAGATGACCCAAGCTCCTTTTATTGGTGTTGTTGAAAGAGCTACGAATATACTAGAACTTATAGATACTGATGTGTGTGGACCTTTTAGAGCAATGACCAGAAGCAGTGAAAGATATTTCATTACATTTACTGATGATTACAGTATATTTGGATATGTGTATCTCATGAAACACAGATATGAAGCATTTGATGTCTTTAACGTTTTCCAAAATGAAGTAAATAATCAACTTGGTTAAAATATTAAAGCTATATGATCAAATTGTGGTGATGAATATATGAGCTATGAGTTTGATGAACACTTGAAGAATTGTGGCCTAGTGTTACAACTCTCTCCATAGGGAACACCTTAGCATAATTGTGTCTCGGAGAGGAGAAATCATACTCTACTT